TTCTGAAACCCTTCTTTTCTTTCCCAAGGTGAGACATGCCGCAGCTTCATTGACCTGGCCCCAGCTTCAGAGAAAGGTAAGTAGTTGGCTCTGCCCTCCCTGGGAACCTGCCTTGGTCTGGTGGTTTGTCAGAGCCTGGCTGTCTGTCCTGCAGCCATGAAGCTTCCAGAAGGTGGATGTCCTGTCACACAGCACTGTCTGTCTCTGGGTGTGATGAAGTGAGGGGGGCCAGCAGAAGAGGGGCACCTTGGCTGGGTGATGATCCTACCCCACAGACTTGCCATTTTCTTGGAAAGCTCCATCAAGTCTCATGGGGAGACTGAGGGACAAGGGATAAGAAACTCAGTGTCCCTCAGTTGGCAGAAAGGAGGCAGCTCTCCCAGCTGAGCGAGTGTCCAGCTGCAGGGACTGCTTCCTCTGCTTCCTCAGGTTCCCTGGAGCCATATCCTGTTTGTGCTCATGGCCAATCCTGAGGTACTGGGTTGAGCCACCAGGACCTGGCTTCAACCACAGATGACTAGCAATCACTGTGGTGAACCAGCAGTTTTCACAAAGGGGGCTGGTGACTCCTGGGGGATTGGTTACTAATCGTTGTCCCTCTATGTCAGCCAAGACCTCTGTCAACCTCAGATGAAGGGTCTGCCCCTCTCACTGCCTCTGCTGAAGGGGAAACATCCCAGGGGGATTACACCACCAGAATTTCAGATCAAAGGGCAGGTAGAGCTTTTGAGATAGGACCTTGAGTCCAGTGCGGGCTCGTTTGAGCAGGACTCTGTGTGCATGCCTCCCTTAGAATGGTGGGTGAGCTCTGCAGATACATCCAGTGTGAGCATGTAGACACCCTGTGTGCCTGTGGCGATTGATGCTCCAGGGCACCTGCATGGCCCTGTGGTGCCCTGTGGAATACTGTGTCTGTTTACAGGGTAGGCATGTTGGCCCTGCTCCTCCAGCGGTCTCTGGCCTCTCTTGCTCTCTTTATGGGGACTGAGGGCCCCAAGAGCATATGTCATCTGTTTTACCGGTGGTGCAGTTTGACTTTTAGGGCTTGGTGGCCACACAGAGGACCGTCGGATGGCATACATCAAATGTTTATGAGGAGACTATGTGGCAGGCTGTGTCACTTGGTGATAGAAGGCTTTTCTGTCCCCACAGCCTCTCAAAGGCTCTGGCTTTTCCTCTGGGTGGCAGGGTCAGTTTGTGGCAGCTGAATGGCTCTCCCAGCTGCCTCCCCAGGCCCCAGGTGCTCTTGGGTCAAGCTACCTGCTCCCCATCTTCCTTCTGCACTCGGTTCAAATAGGAGCCCAAGGCGCAGAGATGAATGACTTTCTCTGAGCCATCCCCCACCCCTCCCCTGGAGTCTGCCCCAGCGAGTTCCCTCTCTCCCCAAGCATACTTTTCTTCTAGACGCTGTGGGCCACACCAGCTTCCTCCTTCCTGGAGTCCTTCTGATCTGCTAAGGTAACAGAATGCCCCCTGACAACACACACCAGTGGGCCTCACGGGGGGTTCTCTGGGCCCTGTTCTTCACATACAGAGTCACACAGCCCCTCCCACAGCTGAGGAAACAGGAACAGGAACCTCCCATAGTTAGGAGGTTGGATTATAATCTGGTTCTTTCCTTGTTTCTTTCTTTTCTTTTTCTTTTTTTTTTTTTTTTAAAAAAATGCTTACATTTAATTTATTGTGTGTGCATGTATGTGTGCACATACGCACCTCAGCACACGTCTGTAAGTCAGAGAGTAATCTGTGGGGATTGGTTCTCTCTTTCCACCATGTGTGTCTTGGGGGTTGAACTCAGGTCATCAGGCTTGGTGGCAAGTGCTCGTACCCCTGAGTCGACTTTCTGCCTGCTGTTTGTCTCTTGAGACAGGGTCTCATGTAGGTCAGGCTGGCTTTGAATTCCTGATCTCCCTGTCTCTATTGAACCTGGTTCTCAGACGTCTGGTTCTTCTGCTGCCAAGGCAGATCCAGGGGATTGTGGGAAGCCTGGGGCCTCTTCTTCATGGCCTCTGTGTGAGTTCAGGCTGACATTTCCCTCCTTGCCTTAACCTCTGTTCTAGACATGTTTATGTTTCTGTGGCAGATTATTGGCTACTCAGCCTCTTGGTGGCCACCATGGTCTTATTATTTATTGTGGTGGTTTGAATAGGAATGGCCTCTGCAGACTCATGTGTTCCAATGCTTGGTCACCAGTGAGTGGCACTATTAGGACATGTGGCCTTGTTGGAGTGGGTGTGGCCTTGTTGGAGTGGGTGTGGCCTTGTTGGAGGAAGTGTGTCATTGGGAGTGAGCTTATTACTTATTTACTTAATTATGGTGAGTGTGGACTCAAGGACTCACACATGCTGAGTGGGTACTCACCAGTGAGCTACACCCTAGTGTCAGAATGATTTTTAAAATTTTATTTATTTGTTTGTATGGTGATATTTTATTTGTACTGAAATGTGATTTTATTTGTATGTTAATAAATAAAGTTGCCTGGGGGTCAGAGCTAATAGCAAGCCATCTCAGAAGCCGGGCGGTGGCGGCGGCGCACGCCTTTAATCCCAGCACTTGGGAGGCAGAGCTAGGCGAATCTCTGTGTGTTCAAGGATACAGCCAGCATGGAGACACATGCCTTGAATCTCAATACCAACCATAGAAGACCTGGAGGTCTGTACAGACAGGCAGTGACGAGGCGGTCATGTGGTTGAGTTTACAACCAATGAGAAGGCAGAACAGAAAGTCTTTATAAAGACAAACACACAGGAAGTAGCTCACTTTCAGAGATGTAGGACAACAGCGACAGTGAAGGGTAAGGTTTTTAGCTCTTAGCTGTTGCTCTGACCTCTTGGCTTTCATCTCTGTATTGGCTCTGTGTTTCTTATTGAATAAGATGGTTACTTCTACAACCTTGTGTATGGGTGTTTTGCTTGCATCTATGTCTATATACCAAATGTATGCCTGAGGAGACCAAAGTTAGACATTTATGAGCTACCATATAGGTGCTGGGAACTGAACCTGGGTCCCCTGGAAGAACAGTCAGTGCTCTTAACTGTTGAGCCATTTCTCCAACCTGTGTGTGTGTGTGTGTGTGTGTGTGTGTGTGTGTGTGTGTGTGTGTAGTGTATCATCTTAGGCCCAGGCTAACCTCAAACTCATGATCCTCCTGTCTGAAAATCCTGTGTGCTGGGCTCATCCTAACTTAGAATGCTCTTTTCTTTTTAAAACAAAAATCACATAACAGATCCTTCCTGTGGGTCACATCTTACTCAGGGTAAACTCAGTATTGTTGCTATGGTTTTATAGGCCTTATGTGACCTGGCCTTCTACCCAGGATGGCATCTCCTGCCACCTTCCCTTCCTCATCACACTCCAGCTCCAGAATACTTGCTGTTCCTTTGATCAGCCAAGCTGATGTGTGCCCCAGGGCCTTTGCACATGCTTGCTGCTCCCTGCTCCTGGAATGCTCTTCTTCCAGAACTCTGTCCCAGTTATCCATGCGGAGATACTTAGTTTATGTTCTAACAAATAAAGCTTGCCTGGAGATCAGAGTGCAGAGCTAGCTGATATTAACCATAGAAGCCAGGCAGTGGTGGCACACACCTTTATTTCCAACATGTGGGATCTCATGCCTTTGATCCCAATACTTGGGAGACACATGCCTTGAATCCCAGCAGTAGGGAGGCAGAAACAGGAAGTGATATGGCTGGGCAGAGAGAGGAATATAAGGCAGAAGGAGATAGGAGCTTGGCCCCCTTTTTGGCTGAGGAGTTGGTAAGGTGAGAGGTGGCTGTGGCTTGCTCCTTTATCTCTCTGATCTTTCAGCATTTACCCTGATATCTGACTCTGGGTTTTTATTATTAAGACCAAATAGAATTTGTGCTACATATACACACTTAGAGAAATCTTAGTAGCACCTAGGTGCACATGCTAGAGACAGAGGACTCCTATGGGCTCCCTTTGATGTTGACTAATACTGCATTGCTTTATTAGTGTTTGCAAAGACATGCACACGCATACTTGTGGATGTAGATGTCCATACATTTTACATATATGGAATCATGAATTCCCTTTTTTAATCAGTACCCACAACTTCTCACCTCCTCCCCCTCATCTCCCTCCTCCCCCACATCCTCCTCCTCCTCCTCCTCCTTCTGTGCTATGGGTAAACCAAGACCTAGCATATGGTAAAGCACGGTTTCTACTCCTGAGCGGCACCCAAGCTCTCTCTTCCTTTTGTGAATAGCTATAGACTATCCCTCCCATGACATGGAGACTTCATTTAAGCAGCTGGACGCTCAGTCTGAGTTGCTTTTGCACCTTGTTCTGTATTACAGCTAAACCTCGGGGACCTGCACACATCTCTCTCCCTCTGAGGCCAGTACACTCCCGGGCCTGGGAGATAGCCACCTGCAACTTTTTTCCAGCTCTAATTGTATGACAAGAGCGCCACACCTCTTTCCTCTAGAGGACCTTGTGCCTCACTCTCTCCAGGATTTCCATAGTGACCTCTCAGCTGGCTGCTTATTTTCCAGGCTGCACTGCTTAAAATCCATTCTGCACCTACAGAATGCTCTAGAAGAGAATGATGAGCTTGAACATCTGACAGCTGCTTACATCAACATGGGGTGTGGGTGATGGCGCTAGGCCTGCCTCCCAACTAACATCTGTGCCTAACTAACTCTCCACCATCTTCTCATGCCTCTGCCTTGCTGATCTTATTGACCTTGCAAAAATCTATTCATACCTCAAACCCTTCATAGGCATGACTCATTTTGGAAAGCCATCCCTGAACCTCCCCAAGACACCTGTCTATACTGATGTGTCATGTCAGCCCCAATCACACTGTTTTGGAGACTTCTTTACCGGGCTGGCACTCCCTGAGGACAGGCAGTATGTCTTGTCCTCTATCACTCTAGAATGCCAAACGCTATTGACACACAGAAAGAATTTAGTAAAGGTTTGTTGAATGAAAAAAGGGAAGAGGGAAGGACCTTGGGCATAGAACAGGAAGATACCTTTTTGTTTAGGGACCTGGATCCATCCTCTGCGGCCTGCATCTGCTTCAGCCTTCATGGCTGAGCAGCTTTAAGCTGTCTCTCTCTCTCCACTTCCTGCGGCCAGCAAGCCAGGGTCTTTGACAGGGACCAGGCGGGAATCTGTGGGAAACAATGTCACGACTAGCTGGTCTCATGTCTCAGTGCTGTGAAACCGCTGAATCGGGTCTCGGCGCGCCCCTCCAGTTTTTCAGCCTCTCCACGGCTCTGCCCTGAATCATACATAGCACCATTCTTCTGCTCACTTAATTTAGTGCATTTTATTGATTATGTTGTAGAAGTGGGATATGCGGAGATGAGAACATGCTGGAGAGTGGAACCACCTCCACAGGGGCCCAAACTGCCATTGGCACTATCCTGGGGTCGTTGCTGGCCAGCACGGTCCTCAGCCCTGCCACCTGGGCTCTATAGTAACAACCTTCCTTGAAAACAAGCACACAGCAGAGCCCGTTTACCTGGAGCCATTTTACCCCCATCTTACCTCCTACCCCAGGCAGACACCCCCCTACCCCAAGCAGGCACCCCCTACCCCAGGCAGGCACCCCCTACCCCAGGCAGGCACCCCCTACCCCAGGCAGGCACACTGTCGCCTTGCTCAGGAGCAGCCTGTCCTGTCCTTTGTCACCCAACCTGGTCCTGCAATTGTCTTTCTGTATGTGGTTGGAGCTGGGCAGTATGGAGACTCTCCTAGCCAGCCTCCAGAGAGGTGGTTCTCAACCGGTGGGTCGCGACCCCCGCCTTGGCGGTTGCATATCAGATATTTACACTGTGATTCGTGACAGTAGCAAAATTAAAATTATGAAGTAGCAATGAAAATAATTTTATGGTTGGGGGTCACCACAACATGAGAGACTATTAAAGGGTCACAGCATCAGGAAGGTTGAGAGCTGCTGCTGTAGAGGGGGTCAGAGCCACAGTCTGGACAGAGACCTTCAGGAGGATAGGTGGACGTGTCCGATACAGGAAGGGTCTAGAAGTGGTTTCTTGTCTGGTCTCAGGGCAGCAGGAGAAATAGCTCTGTGGGATGAGTGGCCTGTGAAAACACAGACTGCGCTGTCAGTGTGGGGACGGACGGCAGCAGGTTCTCAGGAGACAGTGGTGAAGAGCTGAGCAATGGAAGGGAGGGAGAGCCCAGAGAGGCATACGTGCTCGCTCAAGGTCACACAGGAGTCTCTGGTCAACACTGGCTCACCTTCTATTTTAGAGGACTTTTGAGCAGCGTCCTGTGTACTCTGCCTCCTCCCTCCTCAGCCACCCTTCCCTTGCAGCCGCTGAGCCTCAGGGCCACCGACCCCACCCCCACCTCCCCAGCTCTAATTCTGCCTTTCTTTCCCAAAGTTCAGCATCTCTAATTACGGACTCATGTAAAGCCCCTCAGCCTGGGGGAGGACGGCTCCCAGATCACAACATCTAATGGTTACTTTAGCTGCTCCAATTCCAATTACGAAGGATTACCTTTCCAGGTAATTAGGGATCTGGGTAGCTTTGCCTGCTCTTTCTCTCGCAGAGCGTTGTATTAACCCTGACCAGTGACCGGCTTTCATGTTCTATAATTGGAAATGCTTCCTCTGTGCTGAGAAGCCTGTTGAGCGTAAACAGCGGTGATTTAAATTTCTAAGTGCCTCTGTGGGCTCTGCACACTCTGCTGAGAGATCGTTGTGCGGCTCTGGGGTCCCCGGGCTCGGCACAGGATTGGGGAGCACGCATCCCGCACGTTTGCGTGAGGGGACCAGGATCCACAGCTCCGGTTAAGAGAACATTTGCCTGCAAGTCTACCGGCTGTTCACCACTGAACCACCCTGCTTGGGATGCCCTGACATTTGTAACTGGATCTTATCGAATGTGTTAGTTCACTGCCACGGTAACAAATACTCGACGTAACTTACAAAGAGGCAGGATTTCTATCAGCTCGCCGTGTGGGAGGCTCCATCCCCTGATCCTTGGCCCTGTCGCTTGGGGCTTATGTGACACATCTGTCAGGGTTCAGTGGCAGAGCACACAAAGGGAAGGCTGGACCAAGCTCCCCAAGTCTCCTTTGAGGCCACACCCCCAGTGACCTCACTTCCTCCCCAGATCTGTAGCAGTCGCATCTCCCATATAGACGACACATCACTTGTGTCCGACATCTGCCATGTGCGTGGTACTATGTGCTCCTCCATGGTGCCTGTGCAGTGTGAAGCGTATTCCGGAGAGGTTGAACTACCAGGCACAATGCAAATGAGATGCAAATACTATGTCAGTGGGTTGAAATAGCTGCTGGTCGGCTTTGTTAGGGCAATAATAAGAAAAAAGTCAATCTGTATTCAGTATGGATCCCTTTCCTTATTTTATTTTTTGAGGCAGGATCTCACTACATAGCTCAGGCTAGCCTCAAACTCATGATCCTCCTGCCTCAGCCTCCTGAGTGGTCAGATGGCAGGGGTGCACCACTGTGCCAGGCACAATCTCTTTTCAAGTATTTCCCTGGTGTAGCTGAGCCTGGGCACAGACTTGTGAACACAGAGGGCAGACCGTGGTTTCCTCCATATAACTGACTAATGGAGACGCATGGGTATTTAATAGGTGCTCTGTGAGTTCACGGAAAAGCACATAGCTATGGGACCCACCGCCTGGCTAAGGCACAGATACAGGGCAGGCTCAAAGATGTGAGTCTTGCAGTCCCCAGCACCCAGCTGGTGTGGCTCCAAGCTGAAGCTGCCAGGCTGGGCGCCTCCCTGCTGTCCCTATCCGAGGCCCCGCTGCTTGCTGTCTCTCTGGGCATTGCTTTGGTTTGTTTTAGACTGTTCCCCAGCCGTGGCTTTAGAAATGTTTTTCTTAGGATGCTTTAAAATGACTCTTAAGAACAACAACAAAAGGTTATAGGGCTGAGAGATGGCTCCATCAGTAAAGCGGTTGCTTTACAAGCGTGAGGATCTGAGTTTGAGCCCCAGGACCCCCAGGAACAACACTGGGTGTGGGTAGCATGAGCTTGCAGACCCAGCACTGGGGAGGCAGAGATGGAGGATCCCTGAGGCTCACTAGCCAGCCAGACTAGCCTGCTTGGCAAGCTCCAGGAAACTGAAAGAATCAAACAAAATATAAAAGCAAAACAGAGCAAAGAAAGGTGAATGATGTCTGAAGACTGACATCCTCTGGCCACTACATGCCCAAACACACACACGCACACGCACACCAACTTATTTCTGTTTCAGTAAATGCCAGCCCCACCCATACAACTAACTGAGAAGTTGAGGCTATCTCTATACCAAGCTATGCTTGGGAAAACCAAGGCTAAGAGAGGTGGAGACATCTTGTCTGAGGTAACATGGGCAGGGGCTAGGGTATTCCCTGTGTCACCAGGATGTCTCCTGCTCTGGGAGAGTGAAGTGAATCCTGGGCAAGCTGGCCAGGGAGGTGAGCTGGGCGAGGAGGGACTGCTGGGGGTGGGGTGGGGAGTGCAGGGGCCCTGGTGACCCCCCAGCCTTCTGCCTCCCGTGTGTTGCTTTGTTTCCTTCTTGCTCTGCCTGCCGCTCTGAGAAAGGGACAAAGCCCCCAAAGGTCACACGCTAAAGGCTTGTCTCTCAGCCTGGGGCACCTCTCAGAGCTAGAAGAAACTCCAGGGGCAGGCCTGGTGAGAGCCAGTTAGGTTGTTGGGGCTGTGCCTCAGAAGGGAATGTCGGGACCCTGGACCCTTCTCTCATCTCCCTGCTTCCTGCCCACCAGGAAGGAAGCTGCCTTCCCACTGTGTACTCTTGCCATGATAGACGGTGCCTCCACAGGTCCAAAACAAGGGGCCAAGAGACTGTAGCGGAAGCCACTCAGCGATACCCTCCAGCTGAAGCACTTCCTTCAGGCTCAGGAAGCAAAACTCAGAAGCCCCAGGAAACTTCCAGAGTTGTAAAACTCTCAGGAGCCCTCTGGTCGTCATGCAAACAGGAACACTGGTGTGGCATCGTGGGGGTATGGCTTCCGGGGGTGCAGCTTGTGTGAGTGACCCCAGTAACCTCCCTGGTTCACCAAGCTGGGCTCTGGTGGGATGCTGTCTTTAGTCTGTTGTTGGTGCCCTAGCTGGAGTTAACAGAGGTTCGTTCATGTCACCCCTGGAAAAGTCATGACACCTCTGAAGCTGTAAGTCATGGTAAACCTGTCCCCATTTCAGCTGACTCCTCCAGGACTTGGGTCCCATGGGACAGAAATACAGGGATGTGGGCTCAGCTGCTGTTTTCCAGATGAGGAGCTGAGGCCCTCCGTGGAGCTCTGTGGCTGCCACCGCCGGCTCCGTGTAGTAAGTCTGCTTCCTCCATACAGTCTCTAAGAAATGGGGTCCCCTTTGCAGCACCCTCTCTCAGCCCTGGCACACAGTAGACACTATCTGCATACCAGTCTGCTGCAGGCATGCTATTCTGCTGAAGCCTCATCATAGCCCCCAAAGGTGTTTCGGTTTTTCTTGTTCATCAGAAGTTGAAACAGGGAAGTTGAGGTTAGAGAGGCTAGAGCATCTGTTCAGGGCCACAGGGTGTCGGAGCTAGGGTTTAATTGTACAGCATCTAAGGGCCATGTTGAAAAACATGGGCTCTGGATTCGAATTCTGACCCTGCCTCAGTGTCTGTAGGACACCGGGCATCTCTTATAGCTCCATGTCGTCCCCTCTGTAAGATGGGGATGGTGGTGTCGCAGCATGCAGTTTGTGGGGTTCTGAGGCCCAAATGAGATGATCCATGCAAGAGCAGACTGACAAATATTTCGTTCTGTTCCCCCTGGCTAGCTGCAAAGGAGCCCAGTTTGTGTTTATGTCTGCTCAGCTAACACTCAGCCACTCCCCCGAGGGTGGCGCAGGATCCCATCCACCCTAGGCACTTTCGCACCCTCCATTTTATTCCCTCCACAGCTCTCTGGTTTATGTCAGAGCTGTAAGACAGCTGACTCAGAGAAGCTGAGCAGGGAGCCTGATGGCACACAGCACAATGACAGATCCTCTTGGCCTCATGCTGGTTTTGCCCCGTCAGATACGTCTTCCCACCCGCACGCAGTTCTGGTCCCTCTGCTGCTCTGTGGGCTCTGGAAATTCTTTGGGCTGCTCACTGTGCGTTCCCACAGCCTGGGAGGCCCCTGCCTTGAAGCAGACAGCTGTCAGGGTCCACGTGTTGGAGCAGCTGAGGGAATCCAAGGCACCCTCTGCTCTTGCAGCATCCCATCTGCTGCCTCCCACAGCCGCGTCATCAGCAGCCATCTGCTGGGCTCCCCGGAGGCATTGCAATGCTTGAATGTGGCGTAGATGCCCAACAGGCTTCGTGACCTCGTGGCATCAGGGAGCCACGCATGCCTGCAGTCCCTGGAGCCTCAAACTTTAGACAGCCTCCCAAGGGGGCATTTCTAGAAGCCAGAATCCACCTAGCTTTGTCCCCCAGGGCCAACTGGATGGATGCCGGCAAGGCTCCTCTGGCTCTCTGTCCTGGGCTGCACTGGCCCTGCTGGCCTGGAGAGAGGCACGGCTTCTCTGGGCTGCTTCTGCCTGGTCGCCTCTGGCACTTGTCTCTCCCTGTCTGTGGACTTGCGTGGAGGCTGTCCACCCCACTCATTAGGTTCTGTTGTTTGTGGTGCTGGGGACAGAGGAGCCTTAAGCTTGCCAAGCCAGCACTCTGATGTCTAGTCACATCCCCAGCCTGCTCTAAGTCACTTCGATGATAATTTCACTGAAGTTTTGTTGCCCTCCTGGGCAATCTGCCCATGGAAAGTGTCCATTCTAGCAACAGCTTCAGAGCAGTGTGTCCACTGCCATCCAGTCTAGAGTATCTTTGCCACTCAGCACCTCTTCCTCCACAGTCGCCCCCAAACTAGACAGCACCCAGTGCCTGCCGTCATTGTGGATCTGTGGCCCCTGCAGTTGCTTTCAATTCTAAAGGTTTTTTTTTTTTTTGTTATCAGTGCTCTTGTTTATCAGTTCTCTCTCTCTCTCTCTCTCTCTCTCTCTCTCTCTCTCTCTCTCTCTCTCTCTCTCTCTCTCCTTCCATCTCTCTCTCCCTCCCTGTGTGCATGTGTATGCATGTGTATACATATGTGTTCGTGTGTGTGTGTTGCATGCACATGTGTGTGGCAGGAATATGTGTGCAGGTACACGTGTGTGTGCACCATTCTTTAAGCTTTTCTTTTCTTTTCTTTTTTCTTTTGGAGACATAGTCTCTGAATCCAGGTTTCCTGGATTCAGTAGAGCAGCTGACCAGTGAGCTGCAAGGACCTCTTGTCCCCACTGGGGTTACTGGTGTACACCACCAAGCCAGGCCTTTCACATGGTTGCTGGAGTCACGCTCAGGCCCTCTGTGTTGCAGGCCCTTTATCCACCTCGCCACCTCGCCAGCCCAGCAATTCATTTCTTTTGATCGCCAAATAATGTGCCTTTAAAATTGACACAATATTTGTACTTATTTATGGGGTATCAGGCTTTGACGTGTGGCTGTAATGTGTAATTATCAAATTGGGTAATTAGTGTTCTCAGCTCCTCCAGCAGTTACTTCTAGATGCTCTAAAATATACAGTAAACCACTGTGGACTGTACCAACCCTCCAGCTCTCTCCTATGAAGCCAGCTTAAAATTTTTTCTTTTCGTGTGGGTAGAATAAATTTTGCTGAGCTATTATTTATTTGTTTAAACCTTTTCAAAATTGGAGAAAATAGCACAACTCAGAGATGTGGGAAACATGCACAGAGAGCTTGACAGGCCATCATAAATCAAAACGCCCAGGCTGGGAATGTTGCTTTGAGGCTCTCTCAGAAGCCTCTGTCCCACTGCCTTCTGCAGGGAGCTCTTGCTTCGCTTTACAGTCGCAGCTGGTAAGCTGGGGCTCCTAGTCTTTTTGTAAATAAAGTTTTATTGGGACACAGCTGTGGCCATTCTTTCTGTGTGGCCTGTGGCTGCTTTTGTGCTACAAGGTCAGAGCTGAGCAGTGGTGGCTGAAGCTGTCTGGCCTGCGTTCACTCTCTGGTTCTTCATAGAAAAAAGTCCTCCAGAGTCACCCATGGTGTGGCATGT